CGAATTAGAAATTGACATATTGTGTAGACACTTATCTATTGTTGAAAACTATACTATATGTTGCCTTTTAGATATCCTTAGTTTGTACTTATCGTTTGGTTGCTGTCTTATTGGCGTATAACCTACATCTCCTACAGTTTTAGTTCCATTTGGTGTACTTTTAAATCAGTGTATGAAAAATCATAACTAAAATGGTTATTGTGTATAGATTTATTGTCTTTCTTTCCCTCAATAATATGCTTAGAGGAAGATGGACCGATGAGAGATGCATGTACACAGGGACTTGTTTCTATCCGTTGGAAGGTCAACTATCCATATGTAATACATATGAATAGTTGACCTTCCCATGTGGAGATGTACCTAAATTAAAAACATTAAGTAAACAGAAAAAAATGTTTCACTTTTCAATCTTTAACTTCCCCTCCCCCTCCAATTTTTTTTCTACTGTATAAATTTTTGAAGACATGTCGCATCTTAACAAAATCTGATTCACCCCCTTCCCCCCCATGCTGTTAATATACAAACTTAAATATGATTCCCATTAAATTCGATCCCAAAATAATCACTTAAAAGGCATACATATCTAAATAGTCGTAATAAATTCCATTGAGCACTAAACTAATTCAAATCAGATTTTATTTATTTAGATATTCTAAAATACATTTTATTTTGGCAGAAATTACAAAAAAATCATTATTATCTGGTTTGACTGTGAAACACTGTTAAAATTCAGATGTACATTATTGTGCACTAGATATTTTAAAATATTTCATGTCCCATCCTTTGATTTGAAAACATATCATGTTTTAGCATAAAATCGTCAAAAATTGTTTTTAGTCTCAAGTACTTTTGAACATAGCAGTATATCTGAGGTAGTTAATGCACACCTTTGCTGTGCATTATCCCGATTATAGCACAGTAATTAAGAACAAAGAGATTTTACCCATGTCATGTGTATTAAGTGACAAATTAACATATTTTCCCTTTCTAACTTTATAAATTTTTTTAACATATTTTCCATTTCTAACTTTATAAATTTTTTTAATGTTAGCCAATCAATGTATGATTCTGTTGTTGATTCCCATCAAATTAGACAGGGGTATGGAAATGCTCTGCCCAATTTGCCTGACTAATTGTACATTATATTGACCTGGTTACCCATAGATAAGTAAAACATTACACTTGACATAATTAAATTAAATAAAAAATATAGAATTATTTTCACATCATTGTTCATGATGAGATCTAAGTATCAGTTAAAATTTAAAATAGATTGATAGCCAGAATAACAAAAATAAGTTGGACTTCATAACATAACATGATCTTCATCCATTATCCCAGGATGGCCAATTAGGTTTATCTGACATCTAACGGAAGTGACATTTTAATTATACCCCTGCTTTAAAAAAGTGGGGGTATACTGTTTTTCCTCTGTCTGTCCATCCGTCCGTATGTCCATCCGTCCCATGAATATTTTTCGTCGCATTTTTCTTAGGAACTACAATACAAGGATATCTGAAATTTGGTTTCAGGGTTTATATAAGTCACCTATACTGTGTGATGTGTTTTCAGATTCATCACTCAACAACTTCCTGTTTACGGAACACTTGTATCATTTTACACATGATAACCAAGTTGAAAATTTGCTAACATTTTTCTCAGGACCTACACTACAAGGATTTCTGAAATTTGGTTTCAGGGTCTATATAAGTGAGCTTTTACCTGTGACGCGTTTTCAGATTCATAACTTAACAACTTCCTGTTTACCGAACACTTGTATCATTTTTTACACATGATAGCCAAGTTGAAAATTTTAGTGACTTTTTTCTCCGGACCTACAATAAAAGGATTTCGTAAATTTAGTTTCAGGGTTTATATAAGTCACCTATACCGAGTGATGTATTTCAGATTCTTCACTCAACAACTTCCTGTTTACCGGACACTTGTATCATTTTACACATGATAGCCAAGTTGAAAATTTTCGTCACATTTTTCTCAGGAACTACAATACAAGGATTTCTGAAATTTGGTTTTAGGGTTTATATAAGTCACCTATACCGTGTGATGTGTTTTCAGATTCATCACTCAACAACTTCTTGTTAACCGAACACTTGTATCATTTTTTACACATGATAGCCAAGTTAAAAATTTTCGTCACATTTTTCTCAGGAAATACAATACAAGGATTTCTGAAATTTGTTCATCAGTGAGCAGTAGCTCGCAGTTTCACTTGTTTTTCTTGAATGACTTCTATCAGGATCAATAAATACCTGATAAAAACAACTAGACAAAAGAATGAAAATAATAATCATTAATGACGAGTGAATATAAGGCTGAAAATGGAAGGGTAGAAAGACTGGGAATAAGAAGGAAAAAAATCATAATGAGAATTCCTGAAGTGATGACTAACAGATTTCCCCTGGCTCTACAGTAAATGAATTTCTGAAAATAAATTAAATTTGTACACAATTTGTAGGAGATACCAACATCTTGATGATTAAAAGTCTATCTTATTTGTTGGCAAATTGATATATAGAAGGGACACTTAATGATCTATCATTTAGTTTTCTTTTCTTTGCTAGTGTTAAAACTTAGTACACAATTTGTACCTGCTGGCTAGTATTTTAAAAACACTGCTAAATTTCTCTCTAGATGTCTTTTGGTTGCTGTCTTATTAATGGTAATCACATACATCCTTTTATTCATACACATAAACAAATCACAAACATAATTTATATTGCGATTCAAACCACTTTTAAGAATCGTGCAATCATTTTGTGGAAATTCAGGGCAAGTAGGTCCTGGAAAATTATTTAATTCCCAGTGTGTTCATTGTAAAGAGAGCACATTTATGTTCTAGAATAACATTCTCTAGCCCCGGAGATTTAGTTAGCACAGTAAACTGGAAATATGAATTGCTTATACAATGAAACAAAAAATACATATGAAGAAATGGAGTAGGAGATTTATAAAATTCTGAAAAAAGTACCTTTTTGAATTGCATTTACCTTATTTTATGACCTTAAATGGCAGTTAAAAATTTGTAATATGCTATTCATTGAATAAAATTGAGAATGGAAATGGGGAATGTGTCAAAGAGACAACAACCCGACCATAGAACAGACAACAGCAGAAGGTCACCAACAGGTCTTCAATGCAGCGAGAAATTCCCGCACCCGGAGGCATCCTTCAGCTGGCCCCTAAACAAATATATATACTAGTTCAGTGATAATGAACGCCATACTAAACTCCAAATTGTACACAAGAAACTAAAATTAAAAATAATACAAGACTAACAAAGGCTAGAGGCTCCTGACTTGGGACAGGCGCAAAAATGCGGCGGGGTTAAACATGTTTATGAGATCTCAACCCTCCCCCTATACCTCTAGCCAATGTAGAAAAGTAAACGCATAACAATACGCACATTAAAATTCAGTTCAAGAGAAGTCCGAGTCTAATGTCAGAAGATGTAACCAAAGAAAATAAACAAAATGACAATAATACATAAATAACAACAGACTACTAGCAGTTAACTGACATGCCAGCTCCAGACTTCAATTAAACGACTATTTCAGGATCGGAGGCATTGATTAAATAATAGATTTGGTAATATTTTGCATATCTATTTATATATATCATATATGCATTTCGTCACACCAGCTGACCTAATTTCATTTTTTGACGACAAAAAGCGAAAGGATCTATTTACCCTGTATTTGTTTTCATTCTAAAGGTCAACATCTAAAAGTTGCCCAATCCTAATGGAAATTAAATATCAAAGAGTAAAGATTTAGTTAACAATGATCTTCTAATACATTTTTGTCGAGCCTGCGACTTTTGTCGCAGAAAGCTCGACATAGGGATAGCGATCCGGCGGCGGCGGCTACGGCGGCGGCGTTAGCTAACTTCTTAAAAGCTTTATATTTTAGAAGGTGGAAGACCTGGATGCTTCATACTTTGTATATGGATGCCTCATGTTACGAAGTTTCCGTCAGTCACATGTCCAATTTCCTTGACCTCATTTTCATGGTTCAGTGACTACTTGAAAAAAAAGTTCAGATTATTTGTAATGTTAAATTCTCTCTTATTATAAGTAATAGGATAACTATATTTAGTATGTGCGTACCTTGCAAGGTCCTCATGCCTGTCAGACAGTTTTCACTTGACCTCGACCTCATTTCATGGATCAGTGAACAAGGTTAAGTTTTGGTGGTCAAGTCCATATCTCAGATACTATAAGCAATAGGTCTAGTATATTTGGTGTATGGAAGGACTGTAAGGTGTACATGTCCAACTGGCAGGTGTCATCTGACCTTGACCTCATTTTCATGGTTCAGTGGTTATAGTTAAGTTTTTGTGTTTTGGTCTGCTTTTCTTATACTGTATGCAATAGGTCTATTATATTTGGTGTATGGAATGATTGTAAGGTGTACATGTCCAACTGGCAGGTGTCATCTGACCTTGACCTCATTTTCATGGTTCAGTGGTTATAGTTAAGTTTTTGTGTTTTGGTCTGTTTTTCTTATACTGTATGCAATAGGTCTATTATATTTGGTGTATGGAATGATTGTAAGGTGTACATGTCCAACTGGCAGGTGTCATCTGACCTTGACCTCATTTTCATGGTTCAGTGGTTATAGTTAAGTTTTTGTGTTTTGGTCCGTTTTTCTTATACTTTATCCAATAGGTCTACTATATTTGGTGTATGGAATGATTGTAAGGTGTACATGTCCAACTGGCAGGTGTCATCTGACCTTGACCTCATTTTCATGGTTCAGTGGTTATAGTTAAGTTTTTGTGTTTTGGTCCGTTTTCTTATACTTTATCCAATAGGTCTACTATATTTGGTGTATGGAATATATACAGACTTTAATAAAAGATTTTCCATCTTTGACTTTAATAGTCAGCATCATTACATGAATAGTAATTAATGTATGAATTGCAATACACCAATCATTCATATATTAGAACAAATTTAGTCAAATTGGTAACTTTATTGTAGATGAAGAAATTGAAGAAGAAATTGCAGAACTATTTAGAACAAGAAAGAAAGGTATGTTTTTGAGAATAAAGCAGTGGTTATCAAAGTTTAATAAGTCATATGGAAAAGAGGGAGTATTCATGTATTTTGGATAAAAGATGATCAGTATAGATTTTACTGAAATTTATATTTCAAAGATCAAAGCTATATTGTTGATGGGTTCTCCAATAAAAAAGACACATAGTATTAAATTGTTTCAATTTTTTTGGAATGCATTGAATAAATGTTCTGAATAATGAAATTATGGTCATATGGACAACACGGAGCTTCAACATGTTTTTACAACCCTGAAATTCTATCTATTCAAAATGCAGTTTAAAATTGTAAGTACTCAATCGATATTAAAATAAGACGATGCAATATGATTGTCAATGAGACATCTCTCAACCAGAACCAAATTATGTAGAAATTAACAACTGTAAGTCATGTTATGGTCTTCAACAATGAGCAAACCATATCACATAGTAAGCTATAAAAGGCCCTGAAATGACAAATGTAAAAAAATACCAACAAGGAAACTTACGGCCTGAGTACATTAGATTGTAAATAATCTATAAAAGTGGCCATGCATGCACCTCCATCAATAATGATGAGGTTACCCTGTGTCTACTACTATTCCCTCAGGGATAACTCCTCATTACTCTGAATGGAACAAAAGGGAATCTTCATTTGAAAGTAAAATATGTTAGTTATTTCCACGAAACAATATAGTGACAATTAATCACCTCAAACAAATTGTTTGAATTATTGCAATTCCAATTTAACACTTGAAAGCTTAACATAATATTAAAGTTTAGTGTAACCAGCTGTGAACTGGAAATAAATTTAGTGACATGTACCATTATTATCCTTTTTAAATAGCTTGGTAAAAAAAATAAACATTTTCATTATTTTTGTTAGTTAAAAAACAAATATAGATATTATAACACCAAAAAATTACATTATCTTTATCATTCTTGAAAATGACAAGAGTATATTACGATAATGAATCCAACTGTATCAACCATACCTACAGGTCTGCCATTAAATATGTACCTATTTTGAGTCAGCTCTGATAAATTATAGATTTGCCTTATTTTCTTTGTAGGAAGACGATATGTTCAATGGAGTGAGAAAGATTCAAACACTGTAAAATCCTACTTCAAACAATATATCCAGGATGTATCTAAAGAAGGTGCAAAAGGGAGAATGCCTGGTATGTTGTATTACATATAGTATTAAGGTCAATATCCTGAAGTAGAAACACCACTGATTCAAGCCCACCTATTCGAATTTAATACATTGATTTTATTATTCAAAAAGTTCTACAATTGTCACAAGTTTTCTCACTTCCATTTGATACCAAAATTACTATAATATTCAATATATTTTGAAACCAGGCTGACGCAATGTATTTAAAAAAAAAGATATCTGAATTATTTAGGTTGCAGTTTATATATATTTAAAACAGGTAATGATGACTTTTTGGTTTCCTTGATTCAGACATGGTACAGGTACTGGCCATAGATAATTTATACATCTTTATTCTTTAAAAGCTGCACATTTTACAAAATAATATAGAAACTTCAATGGAAAAAATCAAGTATTCTTTATTTGCATTTTTGAACTCTCAGAACATCATGACCGAAACCAAAAGCCAATCGTCCTATATGTCAGATTGGGATTTAGGTCAAACACATTTTTTAACAGAAATAATTGTTAGTAATTTCATTGAGATCAGGGTTTTTCAATCTCTTTCCACTATAAAGATGATGTCCTCTCATTAAATGATTAAAAGTTTATTGACTATGTTGAATGCATCTGTCCCATGGAACTTGAAATACAGGATACCACAGATATTGTTAAGTCTGCCTCATGTCTTGACTTACATCTAGCAATTGACAATGAGGGTTGGTTGAGAACAAAAGTTTTCAACCAAAGAGAAAATCACTGCTTCCAAATTGTGAACTTCCCATTTCTATGTAGCATCATTCCAATAGTGCCTGCATATCGAGTATATATCTCCCAGTTGATAAGATATTAAAAAAATTGTTTCCTATCAGGCATTATTAGTTTGAATGTCCCTTTCGTTTCTTTTGTCTTTCTTTTTAGCTCACCTGGCCCGAAGGTCCTAGTGAGCTTTTCTCACCAGTTGTCATCATTGTTGTCGTCTGTCCTCGTTAACTTTTACAAAAATCTTCTCCTCTGAATCTACTTGGTAAAATTTAACCAAACTTGGCTACAATCTTCATTGGTGTATGTAGTTTGGAAATTTCTCTGATGGCACCGCCTTCTAACCAAGATGGCAGACATGCCTAAAAATAGAACATAGGGGTAAAATGCAGGTTATTGGTATTATTTTGAAATCCGTTATAAATAGAGAAAATAGAAAAGAAACTTTAGATTGCAAAATTGATCAGCAAGACAAGTTCTACAATTAGAACAACTTGGAGGAAATCGTCCGAGGACTTTTTATTGGAGTTATTGCCCTTAATTGACGATTTTTTCTTTGCGTTTTGCCTTATATGATAAAAATTATAATAGATATATAGACATTTTAAATCAGAAAAATGATCAGCATGGCAAGATCTACTCTTACTCTTTATAGGAGTGAGCCCAGAAATGAGGATTATTTTTACCCTCTTTTGAGTTTTATGCAAAAACTAAAGAAGATTGTGAGAAACTGAACAAACTAAATGATCAGTAAATTATGATTTTTGTTTTAACTTGCTTTGATGTAAATACTACATGTATTTAGCTTGGTATGAGTTAAACATTGAAGATTTTAAATCTCACTTTATTTTGAAAAAATGAAAAAAAAATAATAGCAATACACTAACCAAAACATGATTAAGATTTATTCAACACAAAAAAAGCGTAGTCAGAATCTCACTTTATTTTGAAACAATGAAAAAAAATGGAAATAGTTTATTTATAGCAATGCACTTACCAAAACTCTATTACAAAATTATTAAACACAAAACCAATAAAAGGGTGCGAACAGATTTTGGGTGCGAAAGTGAAAGTGGGCGAAGGTGAATGGACACGAACGTGTTTTTGGGCGAACGGACCTGGATTTGCAAAGAAGGTGGTCATATAATCCAGGAGGGTGCATGTAATGTTGACATCAATACTTGATGATTCTAATACCAAACTCATGGAATGCTGACCAATTGATAAGATACAAAAAGCCCAGTGCTATTAGGGACATTGAGTTTTGTTTGCACGAAAACATAGATACAGCTGACATATCGTGGATATTTCTCTGACTTATTTCAAGACGAAGATTAGATCCAATTCTCAATTTTGCAGAAAATACTGAAAAAATTGTCCCAATTGTTGCTGACTTTTTCAAAAGCTATCATAAATCATTGAAGATATAATTCTAACCTTTGCTCCGGTCATAGACCCAAAACCTAGCAACATGGCAACATTAATTGTATATACTACTATGAAACAATATTTAGATATATTCAGCAAAAGGCTTTACAAACTTTTGACCAGCAACTGTATATTGTTGCCCTACAGGAAAAATTGTCTACAGGGTTTCAAATTAACATTTGGTACTGGAAGGTCCAGGACCTTTGACACTCCAAACTGAAAGGTCCACATTTTAAATCACAGGTCCTACTTTTACATGAAATATTTCATAACTCATAAATACAAAATTAATGTGCTTTTGGTGTTAGGTTAGCTTGTTTCATCATATTTGAACTGCATTTAATGTTTTGTTAAGTTTACAAATATATTGCCAGGCAACCATATAGCACCAAACTGTCAGTGTCACTGTGGTATAATAAGTATAATAATAGAGGTAATTGTCTTGTATATTATGAATTCCAATAATCTTTTTTGGGGGGATTGGGGAGGGTGTCACTGTGGGTGTGTGTGTTGTCTCAATTATTGAAAATTATACCATAGTCTGTTATTGATGTAAAAGTGTTCACTGAAGGGTTTCACTTTTTTGCAACACTGTATGCATTGTTGAAGAGAACCTTTATATACCTATTTAACTTATCAGGCTCACATTGCTGCTTGAGAATACATTGTCCAAGTTTAGTGTCTGACAATAAATCTTTAGACTTAAAATTTGGACACTTTCATGGATCCAATGCTTTAAACAAGATAAATGCTTGGGTGTCACTTCGTGTATTTTTATTGGGTCTATTTTAAGTGTTCCCCTTTCAAGTGCACTTTCTTTTTCTGATTGAGTAGGGAACTTCTGGCGTTATGTACACAACATTAGACTATCAAAATATAGCCACGGTCGATCGATTTTACAGTGGGGCTTAAGTTTCCATTCCCGTTTTTCACGATCGTATTTTTGGTCTTTAGTGAGATCTTCATTTGATTTCTTATGTTTTGTTTCCAAGGAAAACGTTGAAGACTGTTCATCATCTTCAGGCTTTCTCTTGGAAGACGTGACACCAAAATGAAACAGACACATTTTGTTCTGATTTGTCACGTGACTTATCGCAACTATTTATAACCTTGTGTTTCCAAGAATACAAGGTTAAAAATAACTTTTATCACTCGTCGGCAAGGTCAGGGATGAAACATTTTTTTATCTCAATTTCAATAATAATATGGCTTTGAAATGACGATACTGATGGTTAAAAAGGTCGGCAAATTTAATTTTTATTTTCTTACGAATCAAAGGTCCGTCAGGCATAGCTAGTAACCAAAATGAAAGTCTGATTGCAACAGTGGAAGGTCACAGACCTCGGACCACCGCTAATTTGAACCCCTGGTCTATGGCAGATGTTATTAACTCCTACATTATAAGAATATGAGGATTTCATGGGCTTTCATATTTTACATATCAACAGTTGGTAAATTATTGGTTAAAGCTGAGGTATATGACTTACATGTTGACTCTGAAATTTATGCTTGAAATACAGTAACAGATTCTTATTTGCAAACAGTTTAATTGTGGTGTTCCAGAAATAACACTGCCATATGTGGCTCTCAGTCATGGTTCCTTAATTCAAAACAATTTTCAATTGACACATAATACTGGTTCTCCGGTAAAGTGCCCAATGTCAGAGTAAAAAATGATAAAATATAAATTGCAGCGAAACTTGTAAATAAAGAACATGGAACATCCTCATAGTATATTCTATCCACCATATAAATTTCAGCATGTAATAGCTACCGTTAATTTCTAAGGATGGAGACAGTTTAGATGAAAAAATGTCAAAAAAGTACATTTAACATCATTTTATTTCCTTTGACGTTGTGATTTTTTTAAATACCAAAAACGCTAAAAACTTTGAAATAATTTCTTTTACGGTGTTTTGTTATCTTTATTAATTCACATAAACTTTAATGTGCGTTTTTCTTGTGAGTTAAAATTAAGGAATATTCAACCATGTCTGCTTTGTTATATAAGTCTCTTTTTTTTTCTCTTCAACACAAATTAAGGTAATACATCTTCCTGTGGACTGTTTCCTTGTGAATTAGTACGCTAAAAAATCGACTCAGCATGTCGGTCTTGTACACAGCAGGATTAATATTAATATCGTATTAACATGCTTTCGACCCGAATATGCATATTATTCGCCGCTAAATCCTCCTTCTCCTCCTACTCCTTCTCATCATCATCATCTAGTTTGCCAATCTGTGTTACCATGAATTATCATTGATGTGGTCATATTTATAAATCAACTGTTTCAATTTCAAAATGCACAAGAATGGCGTATAATGCATTCATCCCTTGCTTTGAATAGTTTGAATAACTAAGAATTTTCTTAATATGTAGACGAAACACAACCCTTGTATCTTTGATGGGTTACTTCCTTTGATATTCAATAATACTTTTTTTTTGTATCGGAAATTTGAAATAATAGGAGAGTGACGAGATGTGTTTATATCTGACCAAAGGATTAAACGAATCACTTATGTCATAATGTTTAAAGTTATTATAATACTGCAATTTTAGAGGAGATATGATTTATTGATTGTAGTTTTCTGAACGTAAAGTGGCAATTATTTCATTCAGATTTATTACCGATAAAAATATATATAAACAAAACCATGATGAGAGCGAGACGACAAAAAAGCAATCCGCAAAATCTAAAATATAAAAACATTTTCCATAGATTTTAGATTTTTTATTCATAGTAGGCAACCCTCTTTTTTGGTTGGTTGTAGCATATTAATCTCACTGACTTAAATTTTAAAAGAGACCACCAAAAAAGACCATGAAACAGCTTC